CTACACCCTCTACTTTCTGAGATATTAAAGAAAATGTGTTTTCAACCCCCAACTTTGAGGGCTATTTTCACCCCCTCAACATGCATGTCCGTAGATATATAAAAATACGTGTCAAATGATTGTTAAAAAGCTACCACATATGTCAATTTCATTAAAATCCGCGTGTGATACCTTGGTGATGTCCCTTGTGAGTGTATTGGTTGGTAATGAACACCGGAACTGAGTAGTATTTACAGTGAAATATTTTTTATCAAAATTGATGAAATGTATTTTATAACTCGATTTAATTTGCTGAAGAATTTTATAAGTGAAGAGCATGGTTGTATATAAGGTTTAAAATTAAGTTCGCGATTTTTCCAACGTGATATTTCATAGTTAGAAAATGAACCGATCTTTTCTAGCTCTTTACATTAATTATTTATAGAAAATAGATGTTTCTGATTAACAAAAATAGGAAAATTGTTCAAAACGTTTATGTGATGGTATATAAAAAAAATTTGCTCTTTTGTAGTAATGCTTTCAAAGGAGAAAAGTGGCCATTTTTCTGCAAAATTTTATATGAAAGATGTTAACGAAGCAGTAAGGTAGATGAGACATTTATCTAACGGTTACACGTGTACTGCGTGATACTCTTGTTACACAGGTATTTTTAAATTTTGGAAATTTGAAAATTTTGAAATTGAATTCGTAAAGTTTGGAACTTGAGAAATTTACAGCTTTTGAATTTGCAAATTTGAATATTTAAAAATTTGGGAACTTGACAGATTGGAAATTTAGGAATTTGGGAATTTGGAGTATTGAACATTGGAGGATACGAAAATCTGGACATTTGCGGATTCAGAAATAAATGATAAATTGGAAAATTTGAAATTCGGGAATTTGAAAATTTGGGAATTTGGAAATTCGGGAATTTGAGTATTTAAGAAACTAGAAATTAAGAAATTCAGTTGTTTGGAAATTTGAAGACCCTGCAGCGAAATTTAATATGTGAAAAATGACATATTTTAACCAAGACATACAAATTACATAAATTATTATTTTTGGTTAATTTTTTAATATATTATTTATCATTATTTTACTACTAAAGCGTTTTATTTGCTCTCTATATGCTATTTGCTCTCTATATCCTTTATATGCTATTTTACATTAAAAAATAATGTCTTTTACAAGCTGTTATTTTTAGACTATGACATATAGGTATTTATAAAATCGCGTATTATGTATGTTAGATACATAAAAATAAAAAACAAAAAGAATCTTACCATACATTTAAAGTAGTTAGTTGAATAATTACCACATTTTATAAATATTTAATGTTTTTCATTGGAAAACTAGCGAGGCAAGCGGAATATTTCAATTGAAACATAAAATTATAATGTGAATAGTTACAGTTCCAGCATGTTATAATATTTGGGTTAGTCAAATAATATCGCTGTAAAGAACCTTCCAAATGTAACCATTTATTCCTATTTTTATTCTGGCATAATAAAAAATCACTATTTAAACTACTAATTTATTTCAAAGTTAGATAAAAGTAAAAGCATATTATATTCTGTTATTGCACACAGAATGACTGAGTTCGAAAACAAAAAGACAGATGTGATGACGTAGGAGTACCTTAAAACAGCATTTAATGGTACATCAGTTTGTATCTTAAAATACAATAAAAAAGACAATATAAACCGTTAAATAATATTCTTAATATAAAATAATTGATTACCAATTACATAAAACAATGTCCAATTTCGAAGTAGAAAATCTGATACGAATTGTTGATACGAAAGCACCTTAAAATTGCATTTACGCAATGTCAATTTGAAGCACAAATGAAAATAAATTTAATGGAAATTACTGTGTAATCCGTTCATTAATATGTTTCGTAAAAGCTAGTTATTAAATCCTCTTATCGTTAGGCATATGAAGTGAACAATTTTGAAATATCGAAAGTCTAATAGGATTTAGTAATATAAAAGTACCATCAAATATTGTATATCAATTTAAAACTTAAAGTTCAACGAAAATGACTGTGTAAACGTTTTGGTAGTATTTTAAATACAAAACGGCTAGTCACTTATAGTGAACAATGATCGATTTCAGAGTATCTGATATACGAAACATTTTATGTAACGAATGAAACTATTAATTTTATGATAAAAGTATCATAAAGTAGTACTTCTGTTACTTGTAATTGGAACTTGTATTAATTTGAAGATTGACGTTTGTTAAAAATGACCATTCAAACCTTTTGTTAATATATTTCATACGAAATTATTAATTGTTAGATAACCACCTCACTTTTATTATCATTTTACGGATTCTACAGAGTAATCGATAAGACGATTTTCTGATGATTAGTCATTTCATGCTAAAAAGGATTGTGAAATATTTGCATCATCATTTTTAGCAAACTTTAAGCTTTAAATTGATGTATCATAGGTTTCTATTGCTATTTTTTAATACTTTTCAGTCGTCAAATTCTATGACACGAAGCTGATCATTGTTGCAACTGGCAGTTAACTATTTTATATGAAGAATACTACTGAAACGTTTGTGTATTCATTTTCTGGTGTTCTGAAACCGGTTATTGCAACGAAATAATATAAAGAACACTTTTCACAATCGTGGTTGAATGGACATATATATTGCATGTACATTTATGATATATGTTCCATTTATAAAAACACATTCAATATTTCACTGACATAAATGTATTTATGTAGTTTGTATCTAAGTAAATTATTACTAATTTATTAGTAATTATTATTAGGTAATCTATTTAAGTAAAACAATCAGTTATGATTTATATTATACTAAAAAATAACATCAACCAAAATCAGAACCGTTATGTTTTGACCTAGAATCTAGTAGAAGCATTTCATTAATATTCGATTCAGTGGTGTTAGTCTTCTCATACCGATTGGCTAACACAACTAACCGATGTTCCGTGTTTGCTCGATGTGTTGTAGAATCGACGGGAAAAGCACGTTGTCGTCGTCGTCATCGTCGTTGAACAACAACGCGACGAACGCCTCGACGATTCAGTCAGATTTCAAAGATTCTAACAAAAAGAAACCGGGTTGCAGGGAAGCAAACAGCGGCGGATCCGGCAGCGTTGGAAACGCGAGTCGAATCAAGGAGAAGAAAAAGGATAATCATGCCACCCCTATGGAAACCAGCGACGAGGAAGCTCAATCGATGGACACCATCGGTAAGTCTGCAAAAATCAGTTTTCTTTGTTTGCTCTAGAATACTACATTTTTATTGTTATAAGAAATACGTTTTTATTTCTATAAAAATAAATCCTTTGTGGATTTACGTGTCTGTAATAAATTCACTTTCCGGGAAAGGTATTTTAAAAATCATATATTTAAAACATATTTTAAAAATTTTGTTAAGATTGACTCTATAGGTAATTATTTGTCAAAATTGACTGTATAAATATGTAATTATCTGCCAAAGTTGTCTCTATAAGTAAACTATGTTTGCTTAACATAATAAGATAGTAAGATTATAAAGTTTATCTAATAAGAGAATGACTATGTTTATAAAAAAAAGTAGTCTCATTAAAAATCTCAACGTATATCATGTACTTTAACACTAAATTTATAGAACGCGTAAAATGACGGATTCTTGATTCCTTATTTTTAGTTACGAAAATTAAGAGCTTTTGTCAAAATTTTATGCTAACACTTAACGGTCATACTTGATAAGAATGATACACCTAGCACACTGATTGTGAGACATTTAAGACTCCAGCCATTAAAAATGTTTCGTTCCAAAGAGCTATTCATTCTTTCAGCTTTAAAAAAAAAACTATAAATAATCTTTGAAAGTTCTTTTAATATATTTCACAGCTGTCTTCAGTAAATTTAAACGTAGGATATGAAAAGAATTTAGAAGTGAAAAAATTGAAAAAGTGACGGTTTTTACAGAAAAATTCAAAACTTCTTCGATTTTAATGTAAAGAACTCTAAAATTTTAGGTGAACACTATTAAGATATAACAACCTGAGGAAAAAATAGGAAAAATACTTAAAAGTGTAGTTAAATTGGCTAGAGTAATTTCATCCCTCAGTGCGAACATTAAGGATTAACCTTCATTAAAATAAACATTCATTGTATAATTTAGTTTACGTATAAGTCATTATTTATTCTTTTTCTATTTAAATCGAAGTCGTCATTAAAGATCCGTAAATCTCGGATTAATTCTGTGGAATTTTCAAAATTCGTAAAATCAATCATTTTGAAACATATTATGTGTCGAAATATGTTCTTCCTAAGTGACTTCATGAAAGCGTAGACGTACAAATATAAAATATTTCCGTTCCTTCGAGGTGTTGTAATATTGACAAAACCCATAATTACGACTGTGGTCTGAATCCAAATTCTCAATAAACTGAACACTTTGTTTTGCACCACACAGATTAATTTTACTATATCATCTAAGAACTTGTTTTAAAAATATTCGTAAGCTGAAGTCGATTATTATGTGGAACGAAAAATCACGTTTATTTTGATAATGGTACAGTTTTAGTAAATAGTTCAATTTTTCTAGAGTTTTGAATGAAGTCGCTTTTATAATCGCTGGTACATATAAATTTACAATACGCAGTAGAATAGCGTAGAAATAACACTCTTGCTGTTTGAAGAAAAAATAAAAATTTAAAAATATGTGGAACTTCACAGAAATATAGTTTCATCGATATTAATAATAAAATATTGAAAATATTTATCGTCTTGGCAATAAATTAGTTGAGAAACATTTCATTAAAAACGATTATGACATTTTTTATTATCGTGAATATTTACAAAATCGTACAAAATATATGATTTTTTATATTCTATATTATGGTAGCAAGAAAGTTCAGAAACTTTCAGTAGGATATAAGGTTATCTAAAACAGTAAAGAATAACTGTGCCCGCAGTGGAAATGCTGCCTTACCAAATTTCCTGTATTACTATCTTTCTAAGTTTCTACATTTTCAAATTATTAAATTGACAAATTGAAACTTTTATATTCAAAATTTTAGAAATTCACAAGTTTGAATCTTCTGTGATATAAATTTTTAAGAATGTAGAAATTTGGAAATTTAAGATTTAAGTCTCTAACAGTTCCACGATTGTAAAATTTGAAAATTGGAGAATTTAGGAATTTTTAAATGAGAAATCGAGAATTTAAAAACGTGAGGGTTTGGGAATTTTAGATTTTCTGAATTAAAAAATTTATATTTTTAAAAATTTATAATTGAAACGTTCGAAAATGTAGTAATTTAATGTTTAAAAAATTTGGAAATGTAGTAATTTGAAAATTTGTAAAAGCAGTAATAGTAATTGAAAAATTTTTTAATTTACTAAGTTTGATATTTTAGAATTTGAAAATTTAAGAATTTGATAAAATTTGAATTTGAAAATTTGAAAATACGGAAATTAAAAAATTTAGTATACACGTTTTATACACGTTTTATCACATGATGGTAAGTATTGAATTGGCTAATCAATTTTATTGGTGTATTATTCAAAATTGAATATTACTTTAATCGCTACCTCCTTAATTGCTACAAATAGATAATAATATATTCACTCACTAAAATGTTAATAAGCTCTTCATCAATATATTTTGTACGTGCATAGTTGCAATTATTTCTGAATATTGGACATCGTCATTAAACTTTTATAACTGACCTCAATCACGATTCGCGTTAAAATTATTTTTAATACGTATACTTTTTGTCGATATATCCGCTTTGGTCTTTGTAAACCACGCTCAGTAATTAAATCAGAATTTGTTTCGTGTAATACGTGGTTTAATCATTTTGGAACTAAAGGAACAAATTTCTCCCAAAAGCATAAGAAACAAAATAGAAGATTAACTTAAAAAAAACACCAATTATGAATTATTGTCTTTCATTTTGTGAAGACTTCCGTAACAGCAATATAGATTATTAAATTCGAAATAAACTGCGTAAAATTATGCTGAAAAAGTTGACATACTAATTATTATACAATTAGAATCATTTTCCTGCTAAAAGGTCACAGTCAGAATTAACTTTTCACTGTCCAAAATAAAAATAATCATCGGTAATTTTAATGTCACTGCAAATGTAAAATGTAGTATTTACACTTTACATTCGAATAAAATTTCAGAATAGTAGAACTTTATGAGCAATATATTATTTGAATAACCGAATTAATCAGAATAGTATAACAGAATATCAGTTAATTCGAATGATGTAACATAATATCACTTAATTCGAATAATATAACGTGATGTCACTAAATTAGATATAACATAACATATCAATTAATTACATTAATACAACATAATGCAAATCAACTAGAATAATGTAACATACTATGTTATAATCCTATTGAATCCATTTACAATATTTTCAAACGTTTCTCAAATTCAGAATGCATCGTCTAAAGAGAACAACAATAAGCAGCAAAACTCGATTCTTTAATTACAGTCCTTTAATTGTTTTGATTTTACAGTAATTTCATAATCTCCAAATAATTCACTGATTAAACTATTAAATTCATCTTTAATCCCTCCCGTCGTCAAAGTGGTTAGCTTCTAGTCCGAACGAGTATTAAGAAGCACTTTGATCACTTTAAACTTTTCTATGGCTACTTCTGTCCAATCTTTTCTTCAGAAAACTCTGAAACAGTACAAAAAAAAAAAAAACAAATTAAAATTCGTTCCTATACAACTATTTTATTAAATAGTTTTATTAAATTATTATTCAACGTACCTCGAATTATTTCACTGTCTCTCGTTGCTGGATGTGTTCGATCCTTGATCTTCCGCTGCGGTGCTGCTGGCCTCCTCTTGCGGCCTCTCCTCCGCGTTCGCATGACACAACTTCCGGTGTTTGTGTACGAAATAGTAGCTAGGGAATTTGCAGCCACAGATCTTGCAGGGATAGTACTGTACGTTCAGGTCGAGTAGCCTGACTTCCCTCCTGCTGCGTGCGGTGTCTTGTCTCGGTCTGTTGTTGACCACCGTTTCGTTCACCCTGGTGGGTAACAAGTGTCTCTTGGTGTGTTTCCTGTAGCAATACTGTGACTTGAAGGTGTGCCTACAGTAGCCACACGTGTAGCTTCCGCTGGTATTTGCAGCGTCTATGTCAGATCTGATAGGATCGCAAGACCTGACAGCTGCTGGTCCCCCGTTCTCGTCGTTCTCGGTGGAAACGTTCTCCGTTTCAAAACAGGACCTCTGTAAACGAGGTTGCAGTACAGGGCTAGGTGCCGAGGACGAATAGTTTTTGTTCAACACACGATGAAACTTCACTGGACCGTCGCAGCAAGCGACGTCGTAGACCACCGACAGCACTCCACTCGAGGAACCGTCGTTTCTGCTGCTCGATCCTCTTCCTTTTCTTCTGGACGATCTCTGCCGATCGCTCTCGCCCATCGACACCGACTCCACGCTTCTATCGCGAGTGGAACTCGTCTCCTCCACGGATGTTACCGGAGACGATCGATTCTGCGCCTGATTTCCGCTCGAGTTTCTTTGCTCGTAGTCCGTTTCCTCTTTCACTTGCCTTTGCTCCGACTTCTGACAAGCCGGTAACGAGGACTGAGATGTCGAAGACAGCGTCGGAGAGACCGACTGCGACGGGGATGACGCCCTCGTCGAAGTTGCCGCGTTCGATGTGAATGCGGTGAACGCGGCTGCTGCGAACGGCATTGTAGTCGTACTTTCTGGAGATTTTGCACGACTATCCATTCGTAACCCGCGATTCCGATCGATTTGGAATAACGAGGATTTCGGCGATGGCACTTCCCTGTATTCAGAAAAACAGTTAATCTTCTATTTGATCGTTTTCTGTTAACTGAGTAGGTCAACAGAGTTAAGGGACAATTACTCTCAAATTTTTAAATCCATAGCACTGTTAATATCACTTCTCCTATTTGATTCGAAATGGGCCATGTCAGATAATTGAGCTCGAACACACTTGCTCACGAAAACACACAAAAACTCTAATTGTTTATGTTTTAAAAATTCTCATCAAACACAGTAACTCTCTAATAAAATCTGTTGTAATAAACCAATATGTGAACGTGTTAACAAAATAGCATGTGACATTAATAAACTAGTATGTGAAATATTGAATCGTTGAAAAAATAACGCAATGATGATACTTGAGATATGGGTGTTAATTTCGCGAAGGATGAAGCGAATGCGCAAACCTATAGCTCGTGGAGCTCTGCGTTTCTTGCACACTCGAGGTTGGCACCACCGAAACGTTGATGGGAACGGTTGATTGCATCAACACCGAGGGTTGTAGTTGAGGCATATGCGGTATGCCTATCGAGGTAGGTGCGGGTGCGGGTGCGGTTGGGTACAGCGGAGTAGCCGGTGGCCAGCACATGCTAGGATCTATCATCAGCCTGTTAGGTATCGGCCTTAATATGTTTCCGGAGCCTGGCGTCGAAGTCGACATGGTCGATGTCAGGGTCGATGTGGGCCCTGCTGACACCAATATCGGCATCGGTAGAGGCGGTGGAGCCCTCAGTCTGAGCAGGGCTGCCCGACATTGCTCCAACGCTCCTGGCATGTGCAATAGATGGGTCGCTAACAGCACGCTGTACACGTTGTCTAAGGTCACCTCCAATCGGCCTGTGTACATGTAGTTCAGTAACGGTGCGAAAGCTTCCGCTCCTGAAAATATTGGTAATCGGTATGAAAATTTTGTGGAAACTTGAAGAAAAAATTTTTGCTTCTTGACGTTGAGGTCGTTTGGGCCATTATTAATGCGTTTGCTACAGCACTCTATTAGAAATTTGACTATCATGAATCCTTTACTTCTTTGAATCACTTTTATTATAATTAATTGACCTATGTCATAACGTTCTTAAAATTATGCCATAGAATTTGATTTTAATCTGTTTTAAAATGTATAAAGTAATTGTGATTCATATAACGGAGTCGCTTATGTGTGACGCTGGTAGCAAACGTATTAATGATACGATATGAATGGTAATGATACAGTTTACAATCAGGTGATACTTGGTACAACTGGGTAATGATACGTGATGCGAACAAAGTGATAATGATACAATTGAAAGTTGTAGCTAAAGGGTTGATTAAATACCTTTTAACACTTGAATAGCTGCTGCTAAGTATTTGTGATTTCGATTTTGAACTTTTTACGTTATTATTTTTCAGTTTGTATTTATTTATTCTGCCAAATGTAAATTTTAATACAAAAATTAGTGATTTTATAGCGTACATTAAATACTGTCTTTACACATAATTTTATCAATGTTTCCTATTAAATAAAATTGCAAAAATTAGATTTCATAATATGTATAAGTATCAAAGTGTTAAAAAAAGGAAGAAAAGTTTGAGGAGTTAAGAACATAATAGAATTTGTTTTTTCTCTTCAAATTCCTATGATAAGATCATGAAATTAATTGTTCATATTTTCGATATAAAAAATTATCTAAATAAAACAGAGTTTGATGAAATATCTTTTTTCGTTTTAGTTTATCATCTGTAGGGGAGGGTGAAAATATGTGAATAACGTTTCGAAAATTGTGTGCGTATTTTTAAACTGTGAATTGGTATATGCAAATAGACAAAAAATTTGCGTGTTTGAAAAATATTTTGAAAACAATTTCTACAGCTTTAGGATAAAGCAAATTAAATTACTCGGTATATTTTCCGAATTGCATTTCGAAGTTTCAATTTCATACTTTTATATTTTGGTGATTGTTTATTTTAATTCAACAATTATTTTTATGCAAAAAAAAAAAAAAATATAAAGCATTCGGTTAAAAATAAAATGAATTTTTGGTACGTGACATTTACAAATATCAGAAATAAAAATTTCAGTATAGTAAACTCATTTCCTAAATTTTTATCGAAGAATACTAAAGTATTTCATGATCGCGTAACATTAATATTATGACGTTGATTTTATGATTTTAATATTTTTAAGTACAACATTAATCAACCACATAATGTTTATTTTTAGAGTAAACTAAAATTTTTAATTTACTTTGCATTTGTCATGTTGCATAAATTTTTAAGAAACTTGTGTAATATGTTGCCAAAGAAAAGTATAGAGATGAGCCAATTTTTAATATAACTTTTAGGCAAATGATTTCTTTATGAATCCACTTGTATATTATCAGATTAGATTGAAAAAATACACAAATCGTATTTTGTTATCGTAATTTAAATAGTTTTTATAATATTTGATTGAACATATTATATCACAGTAAATTTATTTTTCAAAAATCTTATTTAAAAATGTTCAATATAACAAACAAAGTAAGCAATATTATCTGTGGTATTTAATTGGAGATTTAATTAAAACATGGGAACTATAAAAAATGCTATTAAATTATAAATTCAGTGAGTAGAAAAAATGACAATCTGTTGGCAAAGTAATAAATCCCTCAAAATTTTTAACTATTAATCTGGAGCAAATTTGAACACAGTTCGTGTATAATGTACATCTGTCCATTAATTAAAATAAGTATTGAAATTATTTATAAATGAACTACTATTGAACGTTAATGTTATGTTTTTTATTCAAGGGGGAAAGCACGTGTTTTTCAGTTGCACCAAAATGTTCAACTCCTATTTACAATGACAATTAACAACTAACATTTACAATGACAATTGTTTAACAAATATTAATTGTTCATTTCTGCACGACCGTTCAAATATCGAGTTAAATGGTGTCAGAATAAAACCATCGAAACGCATCGTTGCTTACAAACCGACGAACCGACGCAACCCGAACCAACTAGACCGTAAAATCTAGTAAAATCGTCCGCCAGACTTTTTTCCTCCAAAATTTGTACAACCTTCAAATTGCATCCACGTATCTTCATGTTCTAGCCTTACTTTTTTCAGCTCAAAAATCAATTCACTTTTGCACAACTATCCAAACACGATGTATGATATCGACATCGTTAGCAATATCGTTTATCGATATCGTTCCCAAACTTCCGAACGGACTATACCGAATAAAACGCGTTCACCGGACTCCTTTGTAAGCGTAAACAAATGACCAAAGAATAATTACCGATGGACGAAACGGACACGGACGTGACCGGTTGTCGCATAGATTGTTCCGAAAGATTGGCGGTCGTGACCGCGATGGCGGTCGCCGGTAAATTCGAACAGGACCCAATGTTAGCGTTAGCAGCGGTGCCAGGCGTATTAACAGCGTTCGTTAGCAGCGCTTTCAGGTAGCCACTATGGGCAGCCAGAACGCCTCTATGGGCAACAAACTGATGTTCTCCTTCATTGCCTACCCTGACCACCGTGTCCGGTGGCGACAGGGTCTCCTGAAGTCGCGAATAATTATCTGTCGTAACGCTGTCACCGAACCAGGCTCTATATAAACTGTACATCGTACAATCCGGTGTATCGGACGATCTGTTCTTTGAATTATTTTCACGTACGTTCCCGCATCGTTAGGTCACGTGTTCCAAGAAAAGTGTCACTGCCGCGTGGTCACACAAAGTAGTCACCGAGAGAATATCTGGTTACGATCGTTTATAGTTATTACGGAAACCGGTTGTTTCTCCCTCCACGAACGATACCCCTCGAATTTGAAGGCCGATACGGGCGATAATGTTAAACGGGTGACCAGCAAGCGTCGCGAGTGCTCGTGATTTGAACGCCAGGAGGTCGGCCGTGGTCTTTCGTCTGGTCGTCACCACCACCGGTTATTACCAGGCACAGCTTGTAGATTCGCTTGCTTTTTCCAACGGTGGCTTTCCTCCTCCAGACGGCTGCTGTCAGCCAGTCCCTGTGCAGCGCACTCCAACCCCCGACCAATGGAGAACCGCCCCCAACGAGTGCAGATTGGTGGTGCTAGCTCAATTACGGCAGGGCTGCACGTGCGCCGGGTATATTTACAGTGTAGAGGATTGTAGCCGTCGCTTTCTTCGTCTTCCGTGCGTAACAACCCTTCTCTGTCTCCGGGCGATTCTTTCGATACCCGTCTTGCATCGCGGGATATCGTATTCGCCCTGCGTCGATATAAAAAAAAAAAAACAAATCGAGGAGGAAAAAGTTGCGGTACGTTGTTGGGAAGAATACCGCGATTTATCCGTGGACTTTGTTTTTTTCACGTGTTCCCCACCCTTCTACCTTCGCTGGTCGTGAAGGGAAATCGATCGTTAACGACTCAATTAAGCTTACGAATAATTATCGTATTGTTCCCTGTGTCCTTCTTTTTTTATACGCTCAGAGAGTGGGATTCAATTTTTTGTCGATTTGTCGCCTCTTGAGTTATTTTGAATAGCCGAAGCGGTGTTATTGTATTATTTTTATATTATACTGTCAGTTGAAAGTTTGGGTATTATTTTTGTGATTCGCCAGTGTTTGAAATTTTAAATATTTTTATTAATATATTACATAAGTAGTAAAATATTATACGAATAATTTTATTTGTATTATGTGCGTGAAATAGTTCAAAGTTTTATTTTTTAAAGAAAAATATTTATTTTTAAAATGGAATAACAATGTTAATTGAGATATTAAAATGGATAAGATTTCCTAAAACTAAGCAACTTTGTTTTTATTAAAATATTTATTGACAAAATGTATAAAATATGTAAGTATTATATAGTAACGAAATATGTAAAACCTTGTTGCTTATAGAATTGTTGCTTTTATATAGTTCTATTTTTATACAGCATCCTCTTATATTTATATATACTTTTTTATACATAAGTGGCTTTTTAAAAAATAATATAGTCCTTATATTTACTCTTCAGTTAATTAAGTTAGCATCATTAATGTTGATAATATTGAATGAAATATCAATAATACAATCTATAAAGACGTAAAACCTCAAAATAACAACTATTTAAATTCAGGGGAAAAAATACAGAATTAATTTGCATGCCTATCATTTATTATAAAATATTAATTAGTAATAAATATTATAATTATTGAATAGAAGTAAATTTATATAATAATAATCATATTATTATTATTAATGTTTTTTATTAAATGTGACGTTTAATTCATTAGATGGACCGGCATATTTTCAAGTATTCAAAAAAGTTACTTGTAACTCAATGTTGAAAATCAAACACACAAAAATAAATAAATTCTTATGAATATTCATATATCACACAAATGTGGGTAAATGGCGCTTAAAATGTACTCGTGTAATACAAATTACGGAGTATAACCCTTTCGTATATCGTGACCACATATAAGAACATTTAATTGGTTTCTTTCACTTGTTACTCATTAAATATATCTTTTAATAATGTCCTGTTAAAATTAATGCGAAAGTATTAATCTTGTCCTACAGTCTTTTCAGTAAGCAAACTTGTAGGTGCATGCCATGATGTATCAGCGACTCTTAAACGAACTGAATTCATTATTGATACATAGTAATAATGAAGTTTTATTAAGAAATAATAAAATAAAATTCTATCAAAATAGTAGACTTATCAAAGAATAAAAAAATTTTCAAATTGTACAGGTATAGTTGTTTGAAAAATATTTCGAAACCTCTTTTATTTTATATTAAACAAAGAAATAAGTGACGTTGAAGTTTATAAAGAATTTATTTATGGATAATTCTACTAAGTATTATATGTACTTTATCAAGCTTATATTTCTTTGACAGCATAATAAATAAAATAAAAATACCATTTGAAATGATTGAATGAATGAAAATTGTAGTTTAGTTTGAATAAACTCTGTATATTCAATGTAGAATCTTTTTAATGCTAATATATTTGTAATTTTTGCATCCGATGAACAATTACCAGAAGTCCAATATTAATATCTTTATTTCTTGCTGTAATTATTGTGCTTTGGTTTTACTGCAATTGTAAATATGTTTGATATTAATAGAGTGTACAATGTCAGTAAGATTGCAGTTCGAACACAGCTACATTACTCGCCAATATGGTGTCATTTTGAATGCTGGCGGGAAATCATTTTATGGCGGCAAATGCGTTTTAACGCTCCGTTAATGGGAATAATTTATTGAATATTGTTCTTTGAGATCTGAACAATTGTAGTAATCAAGCATATAAATATGTATATTTTCGTACTTTAATATAATTATTTTAAATAAACTCATCATAAATGGAAACATTATTTATTTATTTGTTGTGTTATACAGAGATGTTCCGAATACTTTTTCACGTTACTAACTATTACACATTAAAATTTCTAAAAATTTGAAGTTAACTTAATAATGATTAATACTCAATAGTTGACACTAAACAAAATAAAACACAATGTTTGTTTTAGAACAAAAGTAAATGATTCATAAGATAAAACAGAACAAAATACAATTAAAAGAAATAAAATTACATTGAAATTAAATTACATGTCTATAGAACCTTTAAAAAATTAAGAAATATTAAAACGATTACAAAAATTTGCATTGAAAGTGCATAATTTTACAAATGGAGCGGTTTTCAAAAAAATTTTCTCAGTAAAGAACTTTTTTTTTTTTTTGTTAAAAATGGTGGGGGAAATTTTGAAGCTTAGGGATTTGAAATTATAGATATGGTAATCTAGGGATTTGACGATCTATAAAGTCGATCTGAAAATTTGAGGATTTAGGAATTTACAGCTTAGGAATTTGAAGACGAAGGAATTTGCACACCTTAGGATTAGGGGAGCTATGGATATCAGAATCTAGGGATTTAAGAGTTTAGAAATTTTAGGGCCTAGAAATTTAGAGGTTTAAGGATACACGTATCTAGGAATTCATCGGTAAAAAACTTTAGAAATATGGATATTTAGCCATTTAGAGACTTTGGGATTTTGAAATCTGGGCTCTCTAGAGCCATTGAAGCACAATTTGAAAATATAAATGTTTAGTAATTTTGAAATTTGGGGATTTGATGAATTACAAGTTTAGGAATTTAGCAATTTGCAAATGCCATAAATTGAAAAATTTGAAAATGTGGAAGTTTGGTGACTATGAAAGTTTAAAATTTAAAACATTTTAAAATGGAAAAACGTTTAATTTACAAATTCTTAAACTTCGAAATTTAGAAATACAGAAATTTCAATTTTTCAACTGCAGAAATTCATAAAGTTAGGATTTGGAAATTTAGAAATAAAAAATACAGTTTTTCAGATTTAGATATTAAGAATTAAAAAATATGATTGACGGTGTTTAAAGAGCTATTTATTATATATTGTCTAGAATATGTACGAAATAGATGTTATATACATAGGCTAATATAATATAACAATCTGTACAATAATAAATATATAAATCGACAATAATAACGATGAGTTCTGGTGAAAGATGAATGAAATTTGTTGTTTTGGAATATGTCACATAATTTGACACGTAAACGAAGAATAAATTAAACATATAACTTACAATTATGATTATATATTACAGTACAAAAACATTCCGAAGAAAATTTCTGTTCGTTGTGCATTGTTAAGTATAAAAAATAAATATGTCTTCTAAAGCAGACAGGAGGGATAGAAATTAAATTTTATAACATAGTCAGTTTGCATGTGTTCTTTTCCTAAATAAATTAACGCACATTTGACAGCACGGTAATTAAATTTGCGTTTAATTAATTGATAAACAAGCGAACTATTGATAAATTTATCATCAGTTTCGTGAAATTCATGCAACCATTTGTAAACAATTTAACTAATTCTCGTTTGCGTTTATTAGTACTGTATCTAACAAATGTAAATACTGTATACTATTTGCAAATATTGTTGTATAGTTATATGTTGAATTCGTTAAAATGTAATTGTGTAAATTGAATTTTACATCCTGTTATATGATGCATGTTAATACTGTTCTCATAAAATGAGGCGAATGGGAGCAAAGCTATAAACAAATGTAAATAATTCGATAGAAGTTGTTTGACGAATAAGTAATATTTTTGTACTTTTCAATTTTTATATATGTTATTTGTTTGTGCGGTACTTGTAATAAGTATAATGCAATATTTAATTGGTAATTGCTGTAGAAATTCATGTGTTCATAGATGGATTTTAGAAAAATACGAACGATTTTAGAAAAATAAAAATGGATTTGGTTTAGTATAATTGCACAGTAATTTTAATTATCTCATTTGAAATACGATCAAGCCATTTCTTCGCATAATTCCTGAAGGTAATAAAATAAACAATGATTTTGGTTTTGCATCTTTCAAACGAGTGAGTACAGCTATGGAGATCAAAGGATTGTTCCATTTAATAGAAATTAGGTGCATCGCATAAATTATAGTCTATTATCTATCAATTTTTGTGGTTAGATACGTGCAAGTTACATTATTATATCTTTTAATAGATATTTTTATTTACTTATACATTTTGTACGTATTATGCTCTGGTTTTTACGAACAAACTGTTTTCAGAAGTTTGATCAGATCACTGTCCCCTGTTTCCGCACAAAACGCATTCCCTATTTCTGGATGGTATACAGCTCAATATTATGTGTTGCAATGTGTATTACTGTTTATCATTTTGCTATCAGCAGTTAAGCAGTACATTTAAGCAGCTGTGCATCTAAACAGCAAGAAACATTAGAATTTACAGTTAAGAATAGGAAGAACATGTAATGGGGAAAAGATAAACCAGAATAGTTGGTTTGGA